GAATTAAAATTTTATTTTGAAAAAATAATTTATTAATATTTATCTGAGGTACAAATCTTTTTGCACCAACCCATAATAATTTTATGATATTTAATTATAATAATAAAATAATTAAGTTAATACTAATAATATAATATTTATATAAAATTAAATTTTATTTATATATTTTATTAATAATTTATTAAATATTTATCAATACTAAGTTATTTAATATTTATATTACTATTAAAAAAGAATATCAGGAAGTATTAATATTAAAAATACTATTAAATTAATAAAAGAATTGATTATTTAAGAAAATCAGGAAAATACTATATAACTTTGACACTATCTTACCAAAATAACAAGCTTAAACATATTATTCAGGTTAAAAAATAATAAAATTTACTTGAAAATATTAAACAATTAGATATTTCAAAAAGATAAAGTACTGAGAACAAGAATTTAGAAAAATATTATAATATCAGAATTATTAAACATCTTAGAACTGACAAAACTTATAAGCAAATATAATAATAATTTTATTAACTAAAACTATCTAAAAATATATCTTCAATTATGAAGAATATCAAATAAAAATAATAATTGATTACTATTAAAACCTTAATAGTACAGATTTTATGCATAAATTGATTGACAAGATCATTGAATGTTTTTACTAGTCCAAGATTAATATTTGAAAAATTGTTCATTTCGTCTATTAACCTTTTTTTCTAGCAAATTTTGAAGAAAACAATCAATGTACTGTAACAAAGGGAATTACGGTGTAAAATATTCAATTACTTAGATGTTTTTAAATGTTATGCTATGAAGAGCTTTGCTTTTGCTAGCGATACATATTTTGAGCTAAAAAGTAAATCAGCTTTGTTTTAAATCGGCTTTTGTTAGAAAAAAAATTTAAAACTGTCACTTCAAAGAAAAAGTTTTTATCTTATTTCATAATAAATTTTATCGTCAATTTTTATGATAGTTTTAACTCTAAACCTTTCTGAAACTCGAATACGTAATCCTCACAAGTGGGACTTAAAACCCCATCCAAACATGACCGATTCTACTCAACAGTCTATCGGTAACAAAAATAGATGAAATTCAAGTAACTGGTAAACAATTAAAAAATATTCGAAAAAAAGGAGATTAACATATCAACAAAAAATTCTATTTCGCGAGTTTCTCATCAGATATAAGCCGCAGATAATTTTTTAACGAAAGTTTTTCATGTCGTTAAATTTTAAATATCATCAGCAATCATGTGCAAATACACTTTTGAGATTTAAAATAGCTTTTATCTTTTTCATAAAATCGCTGATTTTAGTTAACGTTACCATATCGATATACAGTAATATCGGAAGTACCCCAAATGTATCGGTATTACATGATCAATATTCTGAATGACATGTACACGTGCTACATGTACAGCAGATGTAGTATTTATTTCTGTGTTTTGAAATTTATGCGCAATCCGAAAACTTTACCACGTTTAAGTTAACGATACAAAATAATAAATTATGGCTGCTAAGAATAGTGCAAATGAGGAAATCATTACAATAATAACAGATAACTCAAAAACACTACCTGAAATTGATTATGATTTTATTGATACATTGCCTCCACAAAGAAAAATAGAGGGAAATGACAAAAATGATATTGAGATAGATGAACACAATGAGAAGAAAAAACAAAAACCTAAACAAAAGATTAAATTATCTCAACTATTTCGCTTTGCTACTTTCACCGATAAACTTTTAATGATATTGGGAAGTGTGGGTGCAATGGGAAATGGAGCATCTTATCCCTTAATGACAATTTTATTCTCGGGGATCATTCAGGCATATCTCGATTTTACCGCACAAATACTGAAAGATCCGTCCAGTGCAAAAAATGCGAGAGATGCTTTAAACGATGATCTTCGAAAAAATTTAATTTATTTATTGGCACTTGCACTTGGTGCTTTTCTACTTGGCTATATTCAGCTGGCATTTTGGGGGCTCGCTGGTGAACGACAAGCAAAGGTAAATACAGTACCAATTTTTCTCTAATATACGTGTATGTCGATATGCATAAATTTATGACCCATTTTTTTTTATTAGACTATTCGTCAATTATATTTTGCGGCAGTTTTACGACAAGATATTGCATGGTTTGATTCGGTTGCTACGGGAGAGATCGTTTCACGTATTTCCAGTGACGTTGAAATAATTCAAGGCGGAATTTCAGAGAAATTAGCAGGAATCATTCAAGGTGTGACCACATTTTTTGTGGCATTTATAATCGCATTTGTCCAAGGTAAATAATTTTCTTTATCCTCGCATTAAATTAAATAGCTTCTTCGTACATCGCATAATTCTGTTTTATATAACTTTTGTAGGCTGGAAACTTGCATTAGTCTTATGCTGTATTATACCATTGCTTACTGCTTCTGGAGCCTTTATAGGAAAATCAGTATCTTCTTTTACTACTCGTGGACAAGGTAACAACAATAACGGATGTATATATTGTTATGGCGTTCATTGATCGAATTTATTCGTAAATAGATGCTTATGCCAGCGCTGGCACGATAGCTGAACAGGTGCTTTCTGGTATTAAAACAGTCACTGCATTCGGTGGTCAAGAACGTGAAGCTGCACGTTATAAAAAAAAACTTGACGTTGCTTATGAACTAGGAAAGAAACAAAGTATCATACAAGGTGTCGGAATCGGCACAATAATGTTCATCTTATTTTCGACATATGGGTTGGCGTTTTTTTATGGGGCAAAACTTGTTGTTAATAAAGAAATGCAAAGTGGACAAGTTGTTAATGTATTCTTTGCGATAATTATTGGTGGTATGTTGTAATATTTAAATGACTTTAATGATTTTATGTACGCGAATAGTTTTTTCTGATCGTTTTTTTATTTCTCAAAGCATTCTGGCTAGGAAATATTGCGCCAAATTTAGGTAGTCTCAGTTCAGCGTTAGGTGCGACGGTAAAATTATATGCTGTTATTGACCGCGTACCTGTTATTGACGTAACCTCTGACGCTGGCCAAAAACTTGATAAGTCCTCAGTAAAAGGACGAATCGAATTCAAAAATGTAAATTTCCATTATCCGTCACGCCCAAACGTGCCAGTTCTTAAGGATTTCAATTTGACCATTGAACCTGGTCAAACTGTTGCTCTGGTTGGCAGTTCTGGCAGTGGAAAATCGACTGTCGTTAGTCTACTTGAACGTTTTTATGATCCCGTTAGTGGACAGATTCTTTTGGATGGAGAAGATATTCAGAATATCAATATTAAATCACTTCGTACACAAGTTGGTTTCGTCGGTCAAGAACCTGTTCTTTTTCCTGCAAACGTAAAAGAAAATGTTCAATGGGGTGGTGCGATTGATGAACAAACACCGACTTTGGAAGATGTTATCGAGGCGTGTAAGAACGCCAATGTCTATGAGTTTATTAAAAAATTACCAGATAAATTTGATACATTAGTTGGTGAAAAAGGCGCTTTAATGTCTGGGGGTCAAAAACAAAAGTATTCTATTATCTCTAATCTCTTAAAAACTTGCACGTAATAGTAAATTTTTTAATGTTCCTCTCATTTATAGAATCGCAATTGCACGTGCTCTAATAAAAAATCCGTCAATTCTTCTCCTTGACGAAGCCACTTCAGCTTTAGATACAAAATCGGAAGCCTCCGTACAAGAAGCGTTGGATGCTGCGGCAAAAAATCGAACCACAATAATTATTGCTCATCGATTGTCTACCGTGAAAAATGCCGATAAAATTGCCGTCATGTCAAAAGGAGAAATTGTTGAAATAGGAACTCATGAAGAACTAATTGCGCGGCAAGCTGTCTATTACGGTTTAGTCAAAGCTCAAGAATTAAAAGTTCAAAAAGATAAAAGTGTAAATGCTGAAGATGATGAAGATGATGAAAGTAATGAAAAATTGGAAAGTCTTGTAAAACAAATAACAATAGAAGCTTCTTCAACTTATTCAATGGAAGAAATCAAAGCTGAAAAGGAGGAACAAGATTTTAGCAAATTACCAACACCATGGTTTCGAATTGTTAAATTGATTCGATCTGAAATTTGGTTTATTCTTATGGGCTCTCTTGGAGCAGCTATAATGGGCGCTGTCTTTCCGTTGTACTCTTTAATTTATTCGAATATTTTGGAAGTTTTCTCGAAACCTGAGTAATTATGAATTTCATTTAGTGAAAGTTTAATGATGATTGATTATTTACCAACTGGGTCTCTTCTGTATTTAAGTCCGAACGAGATAATACGTGAAGCAAATTTTTGGGCTGGAATGTTTGTAGTACTTGCTGCTGTCGCATTTATGAGTAACTTTTGTAACATTTGCTTTTTCTGTAAGTAGAAAATTTTCATATTTTTGAAATGAATTTGCGTATGTTGACAGTTACTTTGCATTCTTCAGCGATTACGGGATGCAGGCTTACTGCAAAAATAAGAGACATGACATTCCGAGCACTTTTAAGACAAGAAATGGCATTTTTCGATGATGAAAGAAACGCAACGGGGGTTTTAACTTCAAAATTGGCAACTGAAGGTAAAGAATTATATAATTCATGGTTGTAATTGATAACGATATTAACGCGAATTTTGTTTTAAAAAATGTGCCAGCTACACAAATTCAAGAATTAGTCAAAACTTGTGGAACAGTTGTGCAAACAACAAGCGCTTTGACTGCGGGATTGGTAGTCATATTCTTATCGTTATGACCTTTTTTTGTTGATTTTACTAATATTTAACATTCTGAATCTATGCAGCTGATTGCTTTTATTAATGGATGGAAATTGACATTGGTCGTATGTGCAGTATCACCTTTAATGGTGATTTCTACTGGCTATGCTATGAGAATTCGCGCAGGTGTCGCGTCAAAGGTAACAATAGAGTTTCGTTGATTTTATGTCTATCGAGTTTCACATTATGTTTTATTTTTTAGAATGTCAAAGCTTACGAAGATTCCTGTAAAATTGTCCAACAAAGCGTTTCGAATATGCGAACAATTGCGGCATTGAATCGCGAGGAAACATTCAAAACAAAATACAAAGATTCTATTGTCGAACCGCATAGAACGGTTACTCGTAGTACATTAATCGTTGCCATCGGATTTGGTGCGTCTCAGGCTTTTCGATTTGGTGTCTGGGCTTTGGCATTTTGGTACGGTGGAAAACTGTTAGGCGATCAAGAATATGGTTTGAATCAAACGCTTAGTGTGTTGTTTGCCGTTGTGTTTACCGCTCAAAATCTTGGACAAATAAAGTAACTATAGCATGATTGTGCTTGTTTGATTGTTAATGAGTTAAATTAACATTTTTTTTCTTTTAGTACGTACACCCCTAATACAGCTAATGCGAAAATTGCTGTAATATCCGTTTTCAAATTGCTTGAGAGAAAATCATCAATTGATCCAACCGAAATTGAAGGAAAAATACGACCGGTACCGGTAACTGGTGAATGTAATATGTCTAAAGTCGAATTCAGATATCCAGCACGACAAAATGTCAAAATTCTAAGAGGTCTTGATGCTGAAATTCTCGCTGGAAAGAATGTTGCATTAGTCGGTCCATCCGGTTGTGGTAAATCTACTATTGTCTCTTTGTTCCTTCGATATTATGACGCTGACTCTGGCACTGTAAATGCTGAGCGTACAAATGTCAAGGATTGGAATCTCGAATATTTGAGATCAAACATGGCGTTAGTTGGTCAAGAACCGGTTCTTTTTGATATAACTATTGGCGAGAATATTGCGTATGGAAAAGAAGGATGTTCACAGGAAGAGATTATTGAATCGGCAAAACGAGCAAATATTCATAATTTCGTTATGAGTTTACCATCAGGATATGATACGCCTGTTGGTGAAAAAGGACTTCAATTGAGCGGTGGTCAGAAGCAGGTTACTATTATTACTATTAACACACGTATAATTTATTTTCCAATACATTTTATTCAATAAACCCTAATTTTACTTTAACATGAATTAGCGCGTCGCAATAGCACGAGCATTAATTCGAAATCCGAAACTATTATTATTAGATGAAGCAACATCAGCACTCGACTCCGAATCTGAAAAAGTTGTACAAGACGCTCTAGATCGTGCCTCAACCGGTCGCACTACTATAACAATAGCGCATCGTTTATCGACGATACAAAATTGTGATTGCATTTTAGTGTTTAGAGAAGGGAAAATAGAAGAATCAGGGAAACATATGGATTTGATTGCTCATCGTGGACTTTATTATGATTTAGTCACACGTCAGACATTAACGAAAGGAAACGAGGATATTTAAGTTTTTGTTCAACGCGCGTTTCAAGTAAATAGGAATGCACTTACGCTAATAAAGAAACTTTAAACCGTTTCTAAATCGCAGAATAATATCTATCTTTTCACTTATTTATAGCTTTTTCGAGAAATCCATTCAAAGCTTGAGCATTCAATAAAATCTCTAATGAAAATTATCTTCATTTAGGAATTCTTGCTGTCTATCCTCGAACTGTTGTCTGAAAATTTGTATAAGTGAAATTCATTTGTCCGACAAACGAAATCCTGAAAGGACGACATCCCAAACGAACGAAATCCAGAATGAAACGGCACCCCGAATGCACGAAAACCCGAAAATATAGCGTCATAAATGCATGAATACTAACATTATGGGATTTCGTACATTCGGAGGTGTTGTTCGCTCGAGATTTCATTCATTCGGGAAGATTTTGAACGTCATCGATATATACAGATATACACACCCCTACAATATATTACCGGAAATCCTAAAAACGAATCTGCCACTTTGAAATCCAATATCTCAAAATTCAATGATCCAATTTAAATGAAAATACTCCATTAAATTTGTCCCGACTCCAGAAATCTTATGGTAATATCTTTATTTAAATGAGATCACTGGATTATGAGAAATTGGGTTCCAAAATGATAGTTTCATTTTTGAAATTTCCGGTAATATATTGTAGGGGTGTGTAATCGAATGCATACCTTCGGAACTAGCCTATAGCGAAAGTACGCATTTAGAGACTAAGTTTAAGCTGAACAGAGTATGCATTTAGAGGAGTGACTGTATTTATTTCGAATTGCGTTCAAGAAATTGCAAATGAGAAATTATTATCACTAATTTATGTCAGTTAATATTACTCGTATTAAAATAAAAATTAGGAATTAACGTTAGGGGCGTGCTATTTATTACGTAATTTTTACCATGGATACATGGGGGTAAAATGATTATTACGTCCTATATACATGTAATTGAATTTTTTTATTAATTGCACCAAAAATTTTTTCATTAACATATGAATCATGGGAAAAATTTTTTTTACGCCCAAAGATGCGATACGATGATGATATAATGACAATAGATGGATTGTGATAAATTTAGGCTCCAAGAATAAATTCTTTTTTTTATTCTCTTAAAAAATGAAAATTCCTTCGCAATCTTCTCTCGTGAACAATTTACATAAATTGGAGTCTTTTTACTCGATACGAAAACCTATGCTCATATTGAAAAGCACAGTATTATTTTTGGGTGCCGCCCAATATCCCGACCGACATACCCAAAAACTCTGACATTCTTAATAAGTGAACTCACATCAAACAAATTTCTTGACTCCAACATTCTCTTCTTTTTATTCATAAAATAGAAAATAATAATAATAATAATAACAACAACAATGATAAAAGTACAAAATGTCATACAACTTAGGCTGGGCCGGGATCTGTTGTTCGGCTGACCCCTGCTAATAGCATTGTTATATGGTGCAAGATTTCGATTTTGTCCAATTGTATCGCTATAGTTTTTCTTTTTGGTGATGATTTCGTCATCGGAGTGGTTCCAAGAGTCGATTAAGGTACCATGCGGTTGTGATTGCATTGTACAGTACATGTATCATTTCTTTCGCGAATTATAACTAGACGTAGACGGAAATTCTGGTATTGAAGTATATCCATCTCGTCAAATCACTTAATCCCTTTTCGAGAACAATTTCCTTAGTTTTGCATTTGAATTGAGATCTATGTTTTTCGTGGAATTAATTCCCAATTTCCCAACTCTAGATGTTGACTGAAATTCTGATATTAAAGTTATATCCATTTTTTTAAATCCACCTTAATCATTTTCAAGACTATTTTCCTTTGGTTCTGTATTTGAATTAAGATCTTTGTTTTCCTGTATATTGCTTATAGTGTTAGCGTAATTAATTCTCAATTCTTCATTTCTAGATATCGATTGAAATTCTGTTATCGTATCCATTTCTTTAAATTCACTGAATCCATTTTCAAGTCCCTTTTCTATACTTTGAACTCCTTTCTTTCCATTGTAAAATAATCCAAGATTATACATAGAAATTGAGTTTCCATTATGCGCAGATTTTACAAAATATTTTATGGTAAATTATTCATCTTTTTCAATTCCTTCATCTTTACATAGCCAATGGCCATAATGAAGTTGAGCCTCAGGCAAATTCATATCGACTGTTTCTTGAAAATAACTTACAGCTTTTACTATTGCCGCTTTTTTTTGCTCATCAGTTTCTTGATCTTTTAAGCAATTATAATACATGTAATATCTGATTTAATATTTCACATTGAAATTGTTCAAATCTGAATATTCATTAATAGAATAGATTTTTTATTATTAATTTTTATTAATTCATTAATATTATCTTAATAATCTCAATTACCTTTATTTACAATATTCATCAATTCAATGGGAATTCTATATATATAATAAAAAGCTTTTTCATTAAAATTTTACATATTTTTTTTACATATATACATTTTATTTTAAAACTGATCAAAATCCTAAATTGCTTGTACATGTATCATGATATAATATTAATCAAAATTTATCTTCACAATGTAATATTAAATGATCTGAAAATAACTACGTGCATATATAGTGAGATCTGTTAAATTTTGTGACTTCCTATACAAAAAAATAATAACGATAAAAGATGAAAAGAATAATACAAGTCAGACCTCTATAATAATATCAAAATATTCATGCTAATTTTGTTCTTATAAAGAGCATGTCATTATATAGAGATCGATTTTCCTATAATAATATATGAACCATTCTAGAAAATTTGGTCATTATAAAGAGTAAAAAGTGTTGTTATCGTTATAGGGAAATTGACTTGTAATACATATACATTCTTGACAAGATAAACGTTCACTTATATATTATGCATTAATTTTGATAGTACTTTAATTAAATTAATATATATGTTAGCTGGAAATTTATTTCATCTTACATGCAATGCTAATTCTAGACTATATATTTTTGTGATTTTGAATTAATTACTAATAATTAAGAGATTTTTCGCCATTTCATAATCCAATTATTTAAATTTCTGTGAGTTCTATATTTTTTTCTCATTATGAAACAATAAAAGGTGTAATCAACTTATGCATTTACAAGTTGAGTATATATGTGCTTATAATAAAATAAATTCCGATTGCACATACCTGTAACTGGAAATCATAAATATCTTTTAAAAAAAATATTATGTAAATATCTTAAAAAACATTTGCAAGATGACTATACATATGTTTTGCACATAATTTGAAATCACAAATCCTGGTTCTGAACTTCTAATACTAGGAAATTCGTGTAAAGCTCACTTATTCAATTCAATGAATTATATAGCTAAAGAAACATTACAAATATGAAGGTTACAAATTAAAAGTTCATTACAAATATAGTTGACTATAAATTAAAATGATCATGTCACAAAAATAAAGTTGTTTTTGCACAATTTGAAACACTTCATGATCACCAATTTCAAAAGATATTCGTCCATTATTAGAGATCAAGAGATTATGTTCATATGCAACTTTTTGACAAGAATTATCATCACCCGGCTCGAATAAGGCCAAATCATGAACGCCAAATATTGGTCATACGTTGATGATATCTTATATTACGCTCTGCTCTTATACATTTGCTTTTAAGTCCACTGGATTCATTTGGAACAAATCGGAATAAAAAGATATTTGGTTCAGAATAATTTGTGTTGTTTGAATTCCATTTCAATGGATCATATCCACCAATTATTTTTTCCGAGCCTTTAACCCGAATGGCAACAACTGTTGGACTTTTGTTGTCGCAAGATCGATGAAAATCAGCGGCAGTTAATCCATCTCGACTACCTCGTAACAATAGCTTTAAATCGAATGAATTCATTTTGTATCTTGCGACTTTTATCCATTCTCTTATTTCTATAAATATCATGGAGTTATCTTTATTACCATTAAAACTTCGAATAGAGTGTGATGCAATAAATCCTTGTATAATTTTGCTGATATAAGTTCCATATAGGACATTACTTTATTGTAAAAATCAATTGAATTTATATGAAAATTGTTTAAGTGCGAATTTCAATTGTGTAAATTCGTTTTGTGTCCATTTCTCTACGGGGATCGAAAAATCAACATTCCCAGAAGCGGAGACTTGAGGAGTTCCCCACTCAAGCATCTTCTCCCAAAGATCTTTCTTGGAGATCCAAATCATCGCGTTTGAGCAAAGAAACTAGTGCGATTTCTTGCAGTATTGCAAAATCATTCGATTGAAAAAAATAACTGCAGGATTTTCACATGCAATATCTGTTAGGGTAAACTTTTAGCCATAGAATCGATATGGCGCTCCAAGAGAATGTATTCAATTAGATCACCAAGAATCAACCCATCTACAGCAATCAATAAGTCTAAGAGTCCAAGTCAATTTTGCCGCAGTACATATATCTAACACATCATAAAATAAATTTAATTTTATTTGTTTTTCTCATGTATTAAGCATTAACATTGTTAGTTAATTTACCTCAATAAGCTTTCAAATACACGTGGTGAGATATTTGTTTCTTAAAAACAACCATTTTAGATGATTCTCGTTTCACCCACGTAACAGAAAGTGTCGTAGCAAAATATTGGGGCTGCGCCATTAAAATTGACGAATGCAGTAAAGGTGCGCTGTACATTTCCATCACCAGCAATTATTGAAATATCACAAAAAGTTGCCCTTTTCGTAAAATTCGGCTAGCTTGTTTGAATGTGAAGTCAATAGTGAGTCCGTATTCATTTTTATTAACGTCAACGTTACATTAGTGCATTTGGTTGTCCATATCGATACGATATTACATGTACATGCAAATATTTGTCGTTATAATCCTATCTATTTGATTTCAAAAATGAACAGTTTTAACATGAATAAAGTCTCTTTACGGTTAGATTATCCCACAAGGGGAACTAATACAATAACGACTTCCTTCTGGTAAAAGTGACAAATCC